TCCTTGCCAGGCTGCTCTGGGGCAGGGAGGGTCTCCCAGGAAGGAGCTGGAGGTGAAAATCTCACGGTTGTCCCACTGGTGTTGTGCTCATCCCTCAGTCCTACAGGCCCAGCAGGCAGGTCAGCACCTCACCCCGCAGAAATTCCTCCAATTTCCCCCCAAAAACTCTCCCCAGCGTGCCCAGCCTGGCACCTCGGGCCCTCTGTGCTGCCCTGCCCTGTGCCACAGCATCGCCTGGCACGGATGGGCAAGGACCAGCCCTGATCCCTCCCTGACTGCACGAGGAGCCTGGGAGCACCAAGACGGGGATGCTGAGCTGAAATCCATTTTTTTTGGGCACAGCAACACATCCAGAGGCCCGGGAGCCACTTGGGGAGGGGTTTTGGCTGTGCCCTCAGTCCGGAACAACCACAAAGTGAAACTTATTCCATGGCTTGTCCTTGCTCTGCCTCTCATCACCTCGCTCTTATTTCCTGGGCTTTTCTCTTGGGCACCAGCGGGAGAACACTCCACGTGGATGTCGCTGCGAGGGAGCGGTGGCCGCGGGCAGGGCGGGGCCCTCCGCGGCGGTGAGGGCTCCCATCAGAGCCGATTAGATTTTCCTGCAAGCCCAAACTCCCCTATTTACGGCCGGTTTTGTTTTCCCGCTGGAGCAATTCTCCAGCCGAGTTTACGGGAAGCGATTCCGACAGGCGGCTGTCGTTCGCGGCTGCTCGGGGGCTGCTTCCCCTCCGCCTCGCCCCTTCCTCCTGCCCAGGTGCTCCCGAGAAACCTTCCTGAAACGCCACCTCCCTCTCCCTGCCCCGCTCGGGGGAGACAATCCCTGCGGATGGAGCCCAGGGGGGCGGGATGAGCATCCCGGGAGCTCAGCTCTTCCCTGAATCCTCACCGGGCACGGAGCAGCTGCCACCTCGGTGCCTCTCCCTGGCCCTGATTTCTGTGCCAAATGAAGGGGAAAGAAGAGCTCTGCGCTGGAAGCAGCAGCGCCGGTGCCTGGGGAGCCCCCGGCCGGCGCGGGGGGGCTCTGCCCGTGCCTGGCTGTCCCTCTGTGCCCGGTCCCCGCGGCGCTGGGGGCCCTTAATGACAGTGGTGGCACCGGGGACCTCGTGTCAGCCCGGCGGGTTGTCATGGCCTTAATGGACGGCTCTGATTCGCAGCGAGCCATAAAGGCCCGGTGTCACCACCTCGGCGCGCTGCTCTAATTACACCCTGCGAGGAGCTCTGCCCAGCCCGGCCCCCGGATCCTGCGGGCCCGAGCGGGCTTTTCCCACATCCCGGCAGCTCCCGGCCGTGAGGAGGAGGATGGGGGCCCAGAGGCCTCACCCCGGACAGCTGGGGACACCCTGGGGGGGTTCTCCGGTGGTTTTCCAAGATGAGCACCCCCCTGGGTGAGGATTTGGTGGCAGCGGCGCTCCCGCGGTGTCGGGGGAGGTTTGCAGGGATGCAGCAGCAGTGGCAAGCGGCTCCGGAGAGCACCCAGTTGTCCTGGTAACAGTGGGTGCCTCCCGCTCCCACAGCTCAGCCCCCCCGGAGCCGCAGCCCCCCAGCTCCTCTCTGCCCTCCTGTGCCAGAGGGGACTCGGCAGGGAGGGGACACAGAGAACGGGAATGGCTCCCAGGCAGGACAGGGGGTGGTGGCCTTGTGGGACAGAGTGACACCAGCCAGGATGTGCCACAGCTTCAGGGCAGTCCCCGTGGGCATCCTGTCCCATGCCTCATCCATCCTGCACCACAACCTGTGTTGGACTAATGCACCCCAACAGGACCCACTGTTGCATTCGGTATTGCATCCTGCATCCCATGCTGCATTCTGCATGGCATCCTGCAGTGCACCTCACGTTGCATCCTGCATCCCACACTGATCCCACATTGCATGCTGCATCCCCCATAAATCCCACATTGCATCCTGCATCCCACACCGATCCCACGCTGCATCCTGCATGCTGCATCCCCCATAAATCCCATATTGCATCCTGTATTCCACACCAGTTCCACTTTGGATCCTGCATCCCACACTGACCCCATGTTGCATCCTGCATCCTGCATCCCCCATAAATCCCATATTGCACCCTACATCCTGCATCCTGCATCCCCCATAAATCCCATATTGCATCCTGCATCCTGCATCCTGTATCCCACACCAATCCCACATTGCATCCTGCATCCCACGCCGCATCCCGCGCTCCTCGCAGGGCGGTGGCAGCCGGGGCAGGAGACCCCTCTGGAAATCCCCAGCTCCCTCAGCCGTGCTGGGCTGCTTGGCTGAGGGAGCAAACTCCTGGTGGGAAGCCGGGAACGGCCCAGGGAGCCGTGGTTTTGGGGTTGTTCATGCACGGAGCTGCGCTGAGCTGTATTTACAGAGCCGGGGTCGGGAATATCCTCCAGCTCCAGCGCAGCTAATGCTGCTTTTCTCCTCGGGATAAAGACCAGCCTGAAAAGCTGGTTTGCTTTCTCTCAGCCTTGACCCACGGGGCGTGAGTGTCTGTCTGGGGATGCTGGGTCAGGCGCCCAGGGACTGCGGGGAAGCACTGGGAACAGGGAATGCCAGGAAGGGACGGAGCTGAGCTGCAGGAAGCTCTGGGCTGGATGTGATCCTGCACTTCCAGCGGCGCCGGGCTGGATCGGAGCCGGTGCTGAGCCACAGATCCCCAGGGTGCTGAACAGCTGCCCTAGAACTGCCTCCTGGCCTCTGCATCCGTCGCGTCCAGCCCGGATGGAGGGGACAAGGCACAGCTGTGAGCAGCCCCAGGCTGAGCACAGAGCTGAGCAGGATGTGTCCAGCAGAGGTGGACAGGCAGCGGAGGGAATGTGCTGCATTTCCAGCTGCGCTGCTCCCGCAGCGTGGCAGCCAGGCCCTGCCGCATCCTGCTGAGCTCCTCCTGCACGCCCGGGGCTCCGTGGCCCTGACACCCCTTCCCCTGCCAGCCAGAGCTCCGGTGAGCAGCAGGAGCCTCTGTGCCAGTGGCTCAGTCGCCCACGGACCAGCAAGATCCTCGAGTTGATCCTGTCTGTGCTTCCTCTTTGGGTGTGAAACCGCAGCTCTGCAGCCCCCCAGGTCCTGGGGGTCTGCAGGCTCCGTGTCACCCCCACTTGTGCTGCATTTTGTGGTGGTGACAGCCCCATTTGTCAGCGTCCCTGTGCCTCACACCCCCCTGCAGAACTCCCCGAGGCCTGCACACGTGTGGGGACGCACACGGGACACACACACACACACACAGACACACACACAGAGAGTCCTGCGTGCCTTGCACACGCGTGTGCAAACCCGCACCGCCACGGCTGAGCCCCCCCACCGTTCACACCCCCTCAGTCGCCCACGGACCAGCAAGATCCTCGAGTTGATCCTGTCTGTGCTTCCTCTTTGGGTGTGAAACCGCAGCTCTGCAGCCCCCCAGGTCCTGGGGGTCTGCAGGCTCCGTGTCACCCCCACTTGTGCTGCATTTTGTGGTGGTGACAGCCCCATTTGTCAGCGTCCCTGTGCCTCACACCCCCCTGCAGAACTCCCCGAGGCCTGCACACGTGTGGGGACGCACACGGGACACACACACACACACACACACAGAGCCCCGCGTGCCTCGCACACGCGTGTGCAAACCCGCACCGCCACGGCTGAGCCCCCCCAGCGTTCACACCCCCCCGCGCCCGTGCACGACCCACTCCACGCGTGTGACACGGCTGGGGGAGGGGGGGTTGGGGACATGGGGACACGCCATCCCCCCCCCCAGCGTGTGCGTGTGCACCGCGGGCGCGCCCGGGCACCGGCTGCCACCGCCACCGCCGCCGCCGCTCGGGGATGGCCAGCCCGCTGCTCGCCGCGCCGCGCCGGGGCTACACGCGCTGCTAACGGAGCGCAGGTAAGAGCGGCCACGACCCCCCCCATCCGGTGCACCGGTATCTCCCCCCCCATCCGGTGCACCGGTATCTCCCCCCGCTCCGGTGCACCGGCACTGCCCGGTTCTCGGTGAACCGCCCCCCCCCCAACCTCATCCCCGGTGCGGCGGCTCCGCTCCCCCCGGCGCGGCGCAGCGGGGGCGGCAGCTCGCCGCCGATGCGGGCTGCGGCGGCCGGTGCTGCCGCTCGGCAGAGCCCCGGTTCCACCGGGGACCCCCCCCACGGCAGCCCGCCGCCCCAGCTCCCACCCCGACCGCGGCCAACTTTCCTGCCCCGGCGGCGGGGCTGCGGGAACGGGAGTTGCGGCCGCGCCGCCGCACCGCGGGTGCCCCGTGCCCGGTGCTCGGGGCGGGCAGCGGCAGCCCCGAGGCGGCTCCGGCCCTGCCGGGAAGTTGCGCGGGGCTGCGGCGGCGCGGAGGGCTCGGCGGCGGGGCTGGCTGGGAGCCGCGGCGCGCCCGGAGCCGCCGGTCCTTCCCGCGGGGCCGCCGGTGCCCCCCTCTCCCGGGGCTCCCGATCCCCTCCTCCCGCTCTGCCGGTGCCCCCTCCCCGGTGGTTGCCGCTTCTCCCCCCTCTGCCGGTTCTCCCCTCGGCGCCGCCGCTTCCCCGGGGGTCCCGCTGCCCCTCAGGACCCTTGTGCCCCCCGCGAGGCGCCGTTTCCTCCCGCGGGGTGCCAGTTCTTCCCTTTAAACAGTGCCCGGCTCCGGCAGCCCCACGGCGGAGGGGCTGCACGCGTGTCCGCGGGCACATGTGTGTTCCTGGGCACACGTGTGGCACCGCGGTGTGTCACACAGCAAGGCCACGGGTGGGTGCAGGGCTCCCTGCTGCCATCCCCGCTGTGGGCACACGTGTGGATGGTGCCAGCCTGGCGAGCGTGGGTGCCCGGCGGGCTTGGTCACCTCGCGTTGTCACCCCTTGGGCAGGGCCCTGGGGACTCGGCACGCGTGGGCGAAGCCCCCCGGTGGTGGGTGGGCTCGTGGGTGGGTTCTCAGCCCTCCCCTGCGTGCTGGGGCTTTGTTTAGTGCCAGCGTGGGGGGCTGCGGGGCTCCGCCGTGCCACGGCACCCGGGGGCCCGTGGGCGTGCGGGAGGGCACGCGTGGGCACCCAGCGTGTGCCCCCGCGGGCACGTGCGGCAGGCAGGTGGCAGCCGGGGCTTTGGGGGGGCACCTGCGAGCCCTGGGGGTGGTGGCACGGAGCGGTGCCAGGCGTGCCTCCCGCGTGTCCCCGCGCCGGTCACTTGTTGAGGACGGGGAGGTTTTTGCGCAGCCGGCGCGGGGGGACCGGCGGCAGCGCGGCGTGCGAGCAGCCCTTCCCTTTTCTAGGTCATGGCACTGCCGGCTGTGCTGGCTGCCGCCTGGCAGCCGGGGCCGCCGGTGACGCGGGGAGCTGGCCCCGGGGTGGCCGGGCTGTGGCAGAACGCCTGGCCCGGGTTCCGTGCGGGGCGCACGTGGAGCCGGTGGCACGGGGCCGGCTCTGAGCTGTGCCACCGGGATTGGTCCCAGCGCTTGGGGACACGTTTGTCCCTCCTTTGAAGGCCGTGGCTGAGCTGAGGGGGGTCATGGGGAGGCACCCGGCTCCGTGGGCTCACACGGGGAGGAGCGGGGTGGCGCAGCTGTTGTCACTGTCACCGTCACCGTCACCTGGCTGCTCTCTGGCCGCCCTCAGCGGGGAGGGTCTGCTCCCCGTTCCCAGCAGGGCTCCTTGGTGATGGCACGGTGGCAGTGGATGTGGGGCTGGCTGTGTGGCAGTGCCAGCCCCGCTGTGCCAGAGCACGGAGCCTGGCAGCAGCTCCTCTCCCAGGCCTGCCCAGTTGCCTGTCAAGCCTTGTCACCAGCCCCTGCTTTGATCCAAGGAGCCAGGATCCTACAAATTCGGGCTGTGCTGGAGAGAAAACGGACACGGAGCGGGCACAGCGGGCGCTCGCTTTCCAACTGGGAGCCGCATGGCAGAGGGGCTCCAGCGCTGGCTGGGACACGCTGCCAGCTCTTCCCAGCTCCTTCTGGTTCTTCTCAACACCTCCAAGGACCTTTGGCAGTGGAATCTTCTGCCTGGAGTCGCTCCTTGCCATGCTGGAGATGGCACTGGAGGTGCTCGGCTCTTGCCGCTGCTGGAGAGCTCTGCCCTGGCACCAAGCTCCTGCTCACTGCCGTGGGATTAATGGGATTTCCACCAGCCAGGGTGTGCCCATTGCTGCCACATCCCCACATGCCATGGGGATTTTCAGATGGGATGGGAGCTGCAGGATGGACTCCCCATTTCCTGGAGGAAGATGATGCTCCAGCCCCGCTCCAGCCCCGCGCTGCTGTGATGCCTCAACGCTTCTCCATGGGAATTTGGACTGAGGCCCTACAAACTCCCTTCCTACCACGGGCCCGTCCTCTAATGGGGATGGGGATGGCTCGGGGCCACCTGGCTGGGTTGCCAAATGTCAGAAGCTCTACGGCTCCCCGCTGCTCACAAGGGCCATCGTGTCCCCCTGTGCTGCTCCTGTCTGTTCCTTCTTGATGGCCTCCAAGAGCAGGAAGGAGCCAGGCCCCTTCTCCTCCCTGGAGCACCCCGGAGGCTCGTGGTGAGGCTGGGTCTGGATGAGATGATGGGTACATTAAAATCCCCTTTTGGGGTGAGAACAGGTCCTGCTGCCAGCGCTGGAACTCAGAACCCCTCTTTGGAGCCTTCCTGGCTCCAAGAATGGAATGGAGCTGATGGAAAAGAGGGACTCACATCCTAAGGATGTGGAAGAAACTCCTTGGAAGAGGCCGTGGCAGCACCGTGGCTGCTGCAGCTGAAGGGGGGCTTTGCCTCCAGGGACCCCCCAGCTGCGCAGGGCCGGGGGGGGAGGCAGCACACGCCGTTCCCTGGCAGAGCAAATCCCTAATCCCGGCGGAGATTCCTCTGTGCTGTCTCCCGGCCCTGCTTTTGGAGTGGAGTTTTACCAACAGCAGTTAAGTAAAATAAATAAAGAGGCCTGTGCTTGCCAGTGCTCGCGAGGCCGCGCCAGGGATTGGCAAAGCAGCACCATTAATTACAGCTCGGCACCGCTGCCAGCCTGCCGGCTCCAGGAGAGGCCGTGGCAGCACGCCGGGGAGCCAGAGGGAGAAGGGAGACGTGGAATCATGGAAGGGAGGGGAAACGTGGTCCTGGGCGCTGAGGGAATTGTGCCAGAGAGGGTGGAGGCAGCTGGGAGGTCGCTGGTGTCTGTGTGTGCACACGCGTGTGCCCTGCAGGGATCCGTGTGCTCGGGCTGGAGCTGGGATTGCAGAGGAGTTTTTCCCAGGAATGGTGCTGGGAAGGCTCAGGACACCCCATGGAGGTGCTTTGGGGCAGCTTCGGGTGCCTTTGAACAGCCAGGGAAGAGCCTGGGGGTTGGAGGGTGGTGGGAATTGCTCGGTGTGCTGCTGCCTTTGTCACTGTCACCTCTGGGTGGGCAGGGATGGCATCCCGTGGGATGGAGCCTCACGGCCAGCCTGTTGTTTTGGCAGGGAAGAGAGGCTGTTCCACACTGGATCAACAACCCAGGATGCCCCATCCCTTCCTTACTTTTTATTCCTTTATCCTAAGCCTTATTCATGTCAGGAATTTTCCTGGATCGGGTCTTTTTTTCCCCATGGATTCTGTATTTTCTACAGCCTGTTAAAAGAACGGTTGGGTTAAAACCCACATCCCTCCACCCCCAAATCCCCTTTACTTTGCCATTAATCGTTTCTCAGAGTATTGATGCCGAGAGCCTCAGTGCTGCCCATTTATCACTTTTTTGGGGACTGGTTGGTTGTCCCTGGCTTTTCCTGATCACGATCTGGGCTCCTGCCGTGCCGGGATGATGGAGCTGGAGCGGGATCCAGCCAAAATCCAGGCAAAACATCCTCAGGGAAACAACCTGTTTATGCGCGGGGAGCAGTGCCGTGCCGTGGCCGGGGAGAGCCGAGCGCGGTGGGATCCGGCTCTTCCCGGAGCGATATTCCAGCAGGGAACATCTCCAGTGATGGAGAGAGACCGCGCTCAGAGAGCGGGCAGCCCGGGCTGTCGCTTCCGCCCGCCCGGCCGCTTCCCAGCTCTGTGATGGCTCTTTAAAAGCTTTAATTAAAGCTTTAAACCCACCCCCTTGCCTGCGCCCGGGCGGGAACAAAGGCAGATGGAAGAGGCTGGAGCGGGCGCCCGCGGCGGGCGAGCGTGCCAGGCTGTGCCCGCCGTGCTCCGGGTGACACCGCCGTCCCCAGGGAGCACCAGCCACCCCCAGCGGGGCGCGGGGGGGTCCCTGGGTGGTCGCCAGCTGCCCCCAGGGACCCAGCAGCGCTGGCGGGCACGGAGCGAGGCGGCTTTGGAGGCAGCGGGGGTGATGCCAGGCTCCCCCGAGCCCCAGAGCGCAGACGGTGACGCTGCAGGGCGAGGGGTCCCCGCCGCGCTGCCGGCTGGGGGTGATGGTGACCCCCGGTCGTGCCACCCGGCAGCTCCAGCCCGGTGACTCGGTGGCCCAGATGTTAAAAACCTCCTCGGCCCCCTCGCAGCTCGGTGAAATATTTTCACTGCAGCAGCGGCGGCGGCGGCGGCGGCGGCTCGGGCGCTGCGGGGAGCGGGGCTGGTGCCGAGCGAGCTCCGGCAGCTCCGGTTGAGCCCCGGCCGCGGCTCCGTGCGGTGCCGGGCTCCGGGCAGCCGCAGTGGCGGCAGCTTTTGGGGCCGGGAGGAAGCTCCCCATATCCCAGAGCAGCTGGATCATGCATGCCTGGAGAGGTGAGGCGTGGGCTGTGTCCATCCCCGAGCAGTCCAGCGGCCGGCAGGGCAGCGGGCGGGATGGCTGGAGGATGGATGGATGGATGGATGGATGGATGGATGGATGGATGGATGGTGCTGCCGGAGCGTCCCTGCTCGCTGCTGCCGGGCGAGGGAAGCAAGCACCATCTTGTGTCCCTGCCAGGCTGCGGGAGCCCCAGGAGCTCGCTGCAGAGCAGCAGCGTGTCCCTGCCTGACCTCCTCCTCCTCTCCCTCCTCCTCCTCCTCCCTCCCCCACTCCCGGCTCTCCGGGAGCAGCGGAGGGGGCTGCGGCTCTCGGGGGGACCCCGGGTCCTTGGTGGCCGCTGGAGCAGCACCGGTGGGGGATGCTCGATGTGCTCCCCGCTCCGGCTGCAGTTGGAATTCGGTGCTTTTGGGTCTCTCCTGTTGCATTTCCTGGGGGCTCTGGCTGGAGCCCAGAGGCACCGGAGGGTTTTACTCCAGAAAAGTGGGGTTTTATTTTACCCCAGATCCCCCTGCTTGCATCGGGGAGATGCAGCCCGGTCTGCTCCCCTTGGCTCCCTCCCAGCCCCTCTCCCCGTGCCCTGGAGGGGCAATGCCAGCACCGAGCCCCCCTCCGTGCTGCCGGGGGCGGCAGGAGCCAGCGCCAGCCTGTTGCATGAGAATCGGGATATTTTTAGCTCTCTAATGTCCCCGGAGTGGCTCCAGCGCAGGCTCGGCCAAGTGTCCCTCCCCACGAGCCGGGGGATGCCCCAATATCAGCGCCTCTGCCAGGGTGGCTCGGGAGCCGGATTTGCTGTTTGAGGATTGTTTGGGAGCAGGATTTGGTGTTTGAGGGGGTTTTGGGAGCAGAATTTACTGTTTGAGGAGTAGGATTTGGTGTTTGAGGGTGTTTTTGGAGCAGGATTTGGTGTTTGAGGGTGTTTTTGGAGCAGGATTTGGTGTCTGAGGGTGTTTTGGGAGCAGGATTTGCTGTTTGAGGAGCAGGATTTGGTGTCTGAGGGTGTTTTGGGAGCAGGATTTGCTGTTTGAGGGTGAGGAAGAGCATCCCCGTGCTGTGCCAAGCGCTCGGCATCCCCGGCACACGGCTGGGCGGAGGAGAGCGGCGACCTCAACGATTTTGGAATCAACCTCTGCCATGGCATCTGGCCCTGTGGCCACCTCCTGAACGTCCCCTGATGTCCCCAGGGCTGTCCCTTTGCCACTGCTGCCCCGGGCACAGGCTGAGTGCTGCTGACACGTGCACGGCGGCCTCGGCCTCTGTAGAGCCGTGCTCCGGGCTCACTTAATAAGGCCACGGCGTGCATTATTTTATTAATGAGGTATTAAAAAGCTGTTCGTGGTGATGCTCTGCATTCCCAGAGAGGCATCCAAGAAATCTGTACTGAGCAGTGGCTGCTCACCCAGTGCCTGGCTCTTAGAACAGATGTGGGGACACCACGCTGCTGGGGTGTCACCGTGCACCCCCAGCACGTCACCCCGAGCTGCCAGCCTGTCCCCACCATGCTCCAGGGCACCAGAATGAGCTCCAAGGGCTTTTGTAGCCCTGTCTGAAGTAGTTGGGTGGCTCCACGGCCAGGCTGTGCTTGGCCAGGGGTGAGCAGAGGGTGGGAGGGTCACTGCAGGGGGGATCTGAGGGGCTGGGTGACGCTCTGGTGGTTTTGGGGTGAAGTCCTCTCTCTGTGCTGCACTGTCCCCAACCTGGGGACTCGTTGGCACATCAAGGAGTCCCCTGTAAGGTGGCAGATGGGGACAGGGACCAGGTGGGGTTGTGAACTGGGAGGGCACATGGGGTGCTGCTCTCACACCAGCCGGGCTCAGGGCAGGGCGCTGACCCCCAGCCCAGCCCCACAGCTCCGGGTAAGCCTCTGTCCGTGTGTCCATCTGTCTGCCTGCAGGGCAAATGCCATAGGATGACCGCTGCTGGTCCCCTCTTACTGGCTGTGATTTCGTCTGTCCTGTGGCTCACGCGGGGCTTCGACCCGGCTCCCAGCGCCTGCTCCGCCCTGGCCTCCGGCGTCCTCTACGGCTCCTTCTCCCTCAAGGACCTGTTCCCCACCATCTCCTCGGGCTGCTCCTGGACCCTGGAGAACCCCGACCCCACCAAGTACTCGCTCTACCTCCGCTTCAACCGGGAGGAGCAGGTCTGCACGCACTTCTCGCCCATGGTGCTGCCGCTCGACCACTACCTGGCCAACTACACCTGCGACCCGCGGGGCGAGGCCAGCCCCGCGCCCGCCCGCCCGCGCCCCGAGCAGCCGCAGGAGGACGAGGAAGACGAGGAAGCCGAGCTGGAGCTGTGCGAGGGCGCGGGGCCCTTCACCTTCCTGCACTTCGACAAGAACTTCGTGCAGCTGTGCCTGGCGGCCGAGCCCGAGGCGGCGCCGCGGCTGCTGGAGCCGCAAGCGCTGGAATTCCGCTTCGTGGAGGTGCTGCTCATCAACAACAACAACTCCAGCCAGTTCACCTGCAGCGTGCTGTGCCGCTGGCTCGAGGAGTGCCTGCAGGCTCCCGGTGCCCGCCGCTGCGGCTTCACCCACGCCGGCTGCAGCTGCCAGGCCGAGAGCCCTCCGGGCCCCCGGCGCGCCGGCACCCGCGCCCCGGCCCCCGCGCCCACCCCGGCGCCCGCCGCGCCCGACTGCTGCCCCACCGAGCTGCATTCCGAGAATGCCAACGAGCTCGACCTGCCCGAGGTGCCGCGCGGTGAGTGGGGAGCGGGGATGGACCCCCTGTGCGGGGCTGGGGGGCAGGGGAGGGGTGGGTTCTGCCCGTGAGTGGTCCGCGGGGAATGGGGATGTTGGGGATGGTGGAGTGGGTGGATCCTGCTTGTGCGAGCTGTGTGGGACTGGGATGTGCCAGCTGGGAACTGGGAATGGGGCAGGGAATCTGCAATGGATGGATCCTGGGCATGGAGGTGCCAGTGGGGCACTGGGAATGGAGCAGGGAATCTGCAATGGATGGATCCTGGGCATGGAGGTGCCAGTGGGGCAGGGAATGGTGCAGTGGATGGATCCTGGGGCTGGATGTGCCAGTGGGGCAGGAAATCTGCAATGGATGGATCCTGGGCATGGAGGTGCCAGTGGGGCACTGGGCATGGGGCAGGGAATCTGCAATGGTTGGATCCCACCCATGCACACCGCTGGGGTAGGATTGGTGCCAGCTGGATGCTGGGCATGGAGCAGAGGAGTCATGCCAGGGGTGAACCCTTGCCATGCACACTCTGCAGGGCTGGAGGGTGCAGGAGGGTGCCCTGCATGGAGCAGGAAAGCTGGTGCATGGAGCAGGGAACCCATGGGATGGATGAATCCTGCCTGAGCCCACTCCCAGGGCAGGATGGTGCCAACTGGGCGCTGGGCATGGAGCAGGGAATCCACAGGATGGATGAATCCTGCCTGAGCATGCTCCCTTAGGGCTGGAAGTTTCCAGTGGGACACTGTGCATGGAGCAGGGGATCCATACAAAGCTCAAATCCGTGGAGCTGCAGCTGGCTCTGCCCTTGCCACGGCCCAGCCATCCCTGGGAACACCACGGTGACCCCAGCGCTGCCAGGGCTGATGCCACGGCTGCTCTGGCACGTCCCACGTGGCTCCCTGGCCTCGCTCGCTGCTCCCTGGCACGGGGCAGGAGCAGGAGCCAGCTCGCTCTGCCCTGGCGGAGACGCGGCAAACAATTTGCAGGTAAAATGACCCTTCGCCGTGGCAAATTACCCTTGACTGCTGCAGCCCGGGCGCTTGTTATTCCAGGCAGGATGTCACGGCACGGCGGCCGGGCTATTAACCAGGCGGAATGAGGCCATTTGCTCGTTCCGGGATTGTAGGAACGGCCGAGGATAAAGCAGCCGGCTCCGGGATGCGCGGCGGGGCTGCCCTGCCCTGCTGCTGCCCGTGCCTGCGGTGCGGGGATTTGGGGACACATCTGGCCAGATGTTTTCCCTTCAGCAGCCTCAGGGCGATGCGCGGGCAGGAGCAATCCCCAGCGGGGCTGCGTGGGGTCTTTATCCGGCAGATTAGGTGGCGGGGCCGGGCCGGGGGTGTAGAGATAATTTCATTGGGCTTTAGCATTTATTTCAGGAGCTAAATGTCATTACGGGCAGATCCCCCACTAAATCCCCGGTCTGTTACAGCTGCAGGGCTCTAAATCGCCTCATCCCGAGGGGAGCTGCTTGAGCTGATTTCATTTTATGGGGTTTTTTTCCCCGTTTTGGGTTTTTTCCCCCCCCTTTAAACGCCGCTCCCCGTGGGCGATTAAGAGCTCAGCCCCAAGGTCAGGTGCCAGCCCCAAGGTCAGCCTGGGTGACCCTGTGCCCGAGGGTGACACCTGTGGTGGCTGGGGCTGCCTGTGGAGAAGGGGATCCAGGATGGGATTGGGAAATGGGATCCACGATGGAGAAGGGGATCCAGGATGGGATTGGGAAATGGGATCCACGATGGAGAAGGAGGATCCAGGACGGGATTGGGAATTGGGATCCAGGATGGAGAAGGGACATCCAGGATGGGATTGGGAATTAGGATCCAGGATGGAGAAGGAGCATCCAGGATGGGATTGGTAATTGGGATCCACGATGGAGAAGGGGGATCCAGGATGGGATTGGGAATTGGGATCCAGGATGGAGAAGGGACATCCAGGATGGGATTGGGAATTAGGATCCAGGATGGAGAAGGAGCATCCAGGATGGGATTGGGAATTGGGATCCAGGATGGAGAAGGGGGATCCAGGGCGGGATTGGGAATTGGGATCCATGATGGGATGGAGAAAGGGAATGCAGAACCAGATGTAAAAGTGGGATCCATGACGGGATTGAGAATTGTGATGCAGAATGGGATGGGGAATTGGGATCTAGGTGGGATGGAAAAGGAGGATCCATGATGGGATTGTGATCCAGGATGGGATTGAGAATTAGGATCCAGGATGGGATGGTGAAGCAGGATCCAGGATGGGATGGATCAGGGGGATCCAGGATGGGATGGAGAAGCGAGATGCTCCTCCAGGGGACCCAGCAGATGCCCAGGGTGGCTCAGTGGGGTTATTTCCCCCGAGCCTGGCACAGGGCACTGGCCAGGGGGCTCCCTGCAGAGCTGGCAGGGCTCAGTGCCACATTCCGCCTCTCCGGCTGCGGCGGCCGCAGCGCAAACTCCAGCTCCTTCTCCAAATTACATTTGACATTCAATTAAAGGCTGGAGCGCCCGGAGGTTCAGTGTTATTGCCGTGCCAGTGCCACGGGGGTGACACGCTGCCTCGGCCGCCCCTCGTGCCACGCCGCTGCCACCGTCCCCTCTGGGTGTCACCGCGCTGAGCCGTGGAGTCACTCACAGAGCGCCCTTCATGCAGCCGGGGGGGGTCCCAGGCTCCCACCTGGCCTCCCCCCAGCCCCCCAGGGCGGAGAATGGTCCCCTTTCAGGGGGATGGTGGCACGCAGGGCCGGGGGGCTGAATGGCGCCTGTGAGCCGAGGCTTGGCGGGCGCCCAGCGCTGATCTCAGCGGCTGCTCGGCCGCAGCGGCGTGGGGCTGGCGCCCGCCCAGCGCCTCCCCACAGCCCTGACCCCGGGGTGCCCGGCGCCCGCGTCATCCCCGCCGCGGGGAGGCTCTGCCAGGGGGGCTCGGGGATGAGCCTGGAGGCACGTGGCTGGGCTGGGGTTTTGTGGGGTGGCTTTGGGTGTGTTCGACCCCGCTGCTGCAGGCTCCAGGCGGTGTGCCCCCTCTAAAGACCCTCAAAAGGGTGACCCCTTCTTTTTGATGGTCTCTGGGTCACCCCACTGTGTCGAGCTCCAATTTTGGGTTTCCCTTATCCCAAACCCATCCCTGCTGAGAAACCAACGCCCAGTGAGGTGCTGCTGGGACAGGGACACAGCCAGCCTTGGGATTCACCTTGAGGTCCCCAGAGAACACCCCTGATGTCCCCAAAATCCCCTGCCATCCTTGCCCCCGCCAGCTGTGCTGTGCTGGGGTGCTGGGGGATCCCTGGGCAGGGCGGGGTGCCGTGCTGGGGTTGGCTGCAGCCTCCTGGTGGTGACAGGCAAGGATTTAGTGCTCTGCGAAGGAAATTGAATTTGGTGTCTCTGTCGAACACAGCCAGGGAGAACGCCCTCGTATATCCTCGGGATTTATGGTTTTCCCCAGGCTCTTGCTGTGCCGTGTGTAACTCTGCTGTGGCGCTCCCAGAGGGGGATGGCCCTGGGGGGGATTCAGCCCAGTGGCCCCACAGACCCCCCCCGGGCATCCCCTCAGTGTGCCCAGGTCCCCCTGTGTCTCCCATGCCACCGGGAATTCTGCAGCGGGATGTCCAAGGACAGGATTTGAGCGTGCCAGCGGGGAGCCCCGAAGTGTTACCCTGAGTTAAGGCAAAACTCGGTGAATTTGGGGATTTTCGGCAGCACACCCAGTGCCAGAGCAGGCTGTGCTCCCTGCCTGGGGCTGTGTCCCTGCTCTGTGTCCCAGTGGGAGCCACCATGTGCCCAAAGCACCCTGCCAGTGCCAGGTGTCCCCGTGCCACCTCCCCTCCATCCCTTGGGGACACCGCGGTGTTTGGCTGGCAGGTGCTTGTGCCACCCCTGGCTGCTGTCCTGGCTGTCACAGCAGTGGGGTGACCACAGCATTTTTGGGGGTGACATCCCTGGGGTGGCATCAATGCTGCTGTCCCTCTGTCCCCACGGCGCATCCCGCAGGAGCACCTGGGGGATGAATCCAGAGCCCAGATTTGGGGACAGGAGTCCCTCTGGAGGACAGGGAGGTGGCCCGGGGCGTGGGGGAGGCTGAGGGAGGTGTCCCCCTGCGCCTGCAGCCGCGTCCCCCGCCGCACCCCGCACATGCCAGTTAATTTCACGCCAAGTGCCCTTGATGGATCACTTGTTATTTTTGGTGAGCCGAGCCATAAATTTGTGCCACCTCACTGCAGCGAGCTGATAAGTGGGGATGGGAGAGCACCTCCGCCTGGCACGGTGGGGACACGGGCACCCTGCCTGCTCCAGGGACGTGGCAGCCCGGGCTGGGGTCCAGCTGCCACCCCTGGGACATTTTGGGGTAGCTGTGACACACGTTTGGGGCTGTGCTCAGTGATGCTCCACCAGGTCTTGCTCTCAGGGGTGTCAGCATGGGGCCAGGCACCCCTGTATCCCCCTGAAATGCCCTGTGCTGGCCTGTCCCCATCCCTGCCCCATCCCTGTCCCCTGCCCACTCTCATTTGGGTGTTTCTCTCTCCTAGGCAATGCAGTCGAGGAGAACCAGAAGGTGAAGACCCAGTGGCCACGGTCAGCAGATGAACCCGGGGTCTACATGGCCCAGACAGGTACCAGGAACAGGCAGGGGGACACTGGTGACACCAGGCTCGTGCACCTGGGCAGGGGTGACAGAGATGGAGCGAGTCCCTTTAGCTTCCTGCCCACGGACTGCCTTAATTTGCTCCATTTATATATTTTTTCCTCTGCACTTTCCTCCGAGAGTTGTAAAGCAAAAGCAAAAAAAAAAAAAAATCTATTAATTGTTTCGTTCAAATGTATTTATTTGGCAAATCCATCTGGGTAATTTGAACGTGCTGCTCCCCCCTCCCCAGCCTCCCTGATTTATGGTCGGAGGGCTCGGAGGCGAGCAGGAGATGGATGGGCCCCAGCTCTGCTCCGTGTGCCTGGCGTGCAGAATTCCTGGCCACACTCGGCTGCTCACGGGGCTTCTGCCCCACTGGGAGCTCCTGGCTGACCCCATCGGTGACCCTGTCCAGTCTCGGGGTCCCCGTGTGACGCAGAGCAACCCCAGCACGTTGTCACCGCCGCTGGTGACACAGAGCCCGTGTTCTGCCTGTCTCCAGGACAAATGGTCCCCGTTGGAGCCCTCCCCCATCTATCCCTGGTTAATTTAAACGGATGGGCTCTGCTGCTGGGCTGTCCAAGAGCCTCAGAGACATCATCAACCTTAATAAGAGCCGCTTGTTGTAAATGTCAGCGTGTGACGGGGTGGGGAGAGGGAGCTACAGAGGGCTGCCCGTGCTGCCCACTGCTCATTGCCCGTGCTGCCCACTGCTCATTGCCCGTGCTGCCCACCCTGCCCGTGCTGCCCACTGCTCATTGCCCATGCTGCCCACCCTGTCCGTGCTGCCCACTGCCCACCCTGTCCGTGCTGCCCACTGCTCATTGTCCGTGCTGCCCACTGCTCATTGTCCGTGCTGCCCACTGCTCATTGTCCGTGCTGCCCACCCTGCCCGTGCTGCCCACTGCTCATTGCCCATGCTGCCCACCCTGTCCGTGCTGCCCACTGCCCACCCTGTCCGTGCTGCCCACTGCTCATTGTCCGTGCTGCCCACTGCTCATTGTCCGTGCTGCCCACTGCTCATTGTCCGTGCTGCCCACTGCTCATTGTCCGTGCTGCCCACTGCTCATTGTCCGTGCTGCCCACTGCTCATTGTCCGTGCTGCCCACTGCTCATTGTCCGTGCTGCCCACTGCTCATTGTCCGTGCTGCCCACTGCTCATTGTCCGTGCTGCCCACTGCTCATTGTCCGTGCTGCCCACTGCTCATTGTCCGTGCTGCCCACTGCTCATTGTCCGTGCTGCCCACTGCTCATTGTCCGTGCTGCCCACTGCTCATTGTCCGTGCTGCCCACTGCTCATTGTCCGTGCTGCCCACTGCTCATTGTCCGTGCTGCCCACTGCTCATTGTCCGTGCTGCCCACTGCTCATTGTCCGTGCTGCCCACTGCTCATTGTCCGTGCTGCCCACTGCTCATTGTCCGTGCTGCCCACTGCTCATTGTCCGTGCTGCCCACTGCTCATTGTCCGTGCTGCCCACTGCTCATTGTCCGTGCTGCCCACTGCTCATTGTCCGTGCTGCCCACTGCTCATTGTCCGTGCTGCCCACTGCTCATTGTCCGTGCTGCCCACTGCTCATTGTCCGTGCTGCCCACTGCTCATTGTCCGTGCTGCCCACTGCTCATTGTCCGTGCTGCCCACTGCTCATTGTCCGTGCTGCCCACTGCTCATTGTCCGTGCTGCCCACTGCTCATTGTCCGTGCTGCCCACTGCTCATTGTCCGTGCTGCCCACTGCTCATTGTCCGTGCTGCCCACTGCTCATTGTCCGTGCTGCCCACTGCTCATTGTCCGTGCATTTGGCACCCTGTACATGCTGCCCACCCTTCCCACCCCGCTCACCCTGCCCACTCTGCCCTGCCCGCCCTGTCCCTGCTGCCCACTGCCCACCCTGCCCGCCCTGCCTGCGCTGCCAGCCCCTCCCAGGACAGGTCCTGCCCCTCACACCAGCTGCCATCCCGTGCCCCAATCCCTTCCCCACCTCCATCCCAGGCCTCACCTCACTGACACCCTCAGTGCCACCCTGTCACCCACCCCACCCCATCCTCACCCCCGCGCTCCGCGGTGCCACCCACCCGCCTCCCTGCCCCTTGGTGGCACGTCCCCTGTCCCCCGCGGGCTCTCAGATCCCTGTCACCCCCAGGGGACCCTGCGGCGGAGGAGTGGTCGCAGTGGAGCGTGTGCTCCCTGACGTGCGGCCAGGGCTCCCAGGTGCGGACGCGCTCCTGCGTCTCCTCTCCGTACGGGACGCTGTGCAGCGGGCTGCTCCGGGAGACCCGCACCTGCAACAACACCGCCACCTGCCCAGGTACGGGGACAGCGGGGACAGCGGGGACAGCGGGGACAGCGGGGACAGCGGGGACACCGCGGCGCTGCGCTGCCGGCTCCCAGCAGGGCTGAGCGGGCGGGTGGGGACAGAGAGAATGCGTTGCTGGGATGTTTCTGGGGGCTCCTCGAGGTGCTGTGGTGGATGAGAAGGGTGGCTTGGCATGGTTGTGGTGCCCACCCTGATGCTCCGAGTGCTGTTGGCATCCCTCCATCCTCTGGAGTGTCTCTTGGGGAGGTGTCTGGAGCGGGTGCCCTGCACCCTGTGCCCTCTCAGCGGTGCTGCTGCTGGGGATTTGCCTCGGGGACTCCTTCCCATCCTCTCTCCTGGTGAACTGTGGGCTCCTCCTGGATGTCCCCAAGGCTTTGTGCTGGAGCCTGGGAGATTTGGAGCCTGGCATTCCGAGGGGATCTCCCTGACATGGGGCAGGAGAGGCCTGAGCTGCTCAGTGCCTCAAGGCAGGTGACAGCAGGAGGCCGAGGATCTCCTGTCTGTCCGTGGTGGTGTCCGTGTGTCTCATGTGGGACACAGGAGGGACCTCAGGGTGCCACAGTGGCAGCCACACTGCCCCGTCTGAATCTGGGGTGTTTCAAGGGATTTTCACAAGCAGTGTCCATACCGAGGGGTGCAGCCCTGTCCTGGCACCCCGAGGACATCGGAGCTCAAGGAGGAGCATTCTTTGGGATGGCCCCTGATCCCTTCCTGGAGCGCTGAGCTCCCGTGGGTGTGAGGGGCAGATTGTGCTCCGTGTGCTGACAGGGAGCGGGGTGACCCGTGTGTGGCTTTGGGGGGACGTGCGCCGCCAGTGCCAGCACCCCAAAAGGGACACTGGTGCAGTGCAGGGGTGGCAGCGGCACCGCTGCCAGCTCAGGGATTTGGGATAACAACAGGACAGGCAGTGCTGGGCACTGTGCCCGGCTGAGCCCTGGGCGGGGCACGAGGGGGCTGCCAAGCCGGGACCCCTGGGTGCCGGGACCCCTGGGAGGCTGGAGGCCTGGGCTGTGCTGTGTTGCAGCTCCCGGCGCGTGGGAGGAGTGGTCCCCGTGGAGCCTGTGCTCGGTGACCTGCGGGCGAGGGGCCAGGACCAGGACGCGGCGCTGCGCGGCCTCGCGGCGCGGAGGGAAGGCCTGCGAGGGCCCCGGGCTGCAGGCCAAGCCCTGCAGTATCGCGACCTGCCCGGGTCAGTACCTCCCCCTCCCCAGCTCCTTCTTCCCGCCGGGAATGCCAGGGGACGGCGCCAGCTGAGCGCCAGAGCTCCTGGTGCCACGAGGGACGGGTGACACCGCCATGGGCAGCTGGCACACAGGGGTGCTGTGACACTCGGTGCACCGTCCTGTCCCCGCTGGAGATCCAAGTGGAAATTCAGTGCCGTTGGCTGTGCCAGGGTCTCACGACCCCAGCATGAGCAGGGTCCAGCCTGAGGACCACAGAGGAGGCGGCTTCATCCCTACCCCTCTGCTGTGCCTGGCACTGGGGTGGCACAGGGACATTGTGGGGTACAGGGAGGTGGCAAAGGGGGTCGGCTGCAGGGTCTGTGTGCACACAGGTGGCAGTGCCACAGCTGTCCCTTCCTCCTGTGTGCCAGGAGTGGCCGCGGTGGTGGCTGTGGGGTTTCTGCAGTGATGGGCAGGGATGCCATGTCTTAGATGTTGTTCCCATGTGTGACGTGGGGCAGCTGGCAGGGACTTCAGAGCAGGAAGGAGCTGCTCCTGCAGCAGCTCTGACAGGGATGTGGCACCCATGGCACAGAGCTTTGGCCACGGCAGTCCTGTGGAGATGCTGCTGGAGTCTTGAGCGTGGCAGGGAATGATGCCAGGGATTCTGGATTTGGTTGGAAGTGATGCCAGGGATGCTGGATTTGGCACAACTGATGACAGGGATGCTGGATTTGGTTGGAAGAAGTGCCAGGGATGCTGGATTTGTTAAAAAGCAATGCCAGGGATGCTGGATTTGACAGGACTGATGAAAGGGATGCTGGATTTGGTAAAAAGCAATGCCAGGGATGCTGCATTGGCCAGAAGCGATGGCAGGGATTCTGGGTTTGGTTCGAAGTGATGCCAGGGCTGCTGGATTTGGTGGAAAGCAATGCCAAAGCTGCTGGATTTGGCAGGACCGATGCCACAGACGCTGGGTTTGGTTGGAAGCAATACCAAGGGTGCCAGAAACTCTTAAATTCCACGCAAGCAACACCAGGGTCCCCACCCTGAGCGTGTCCCTTGTGTCCCACCGGTGGAGGGGCCACTCCCAGTGCCAATCCCCCCTCCCAGCACCGCCTGTCCAGCCTGGCACAGGACGAGCCGTACACCCGTAGGTTGGACCCGTTGCCCGGCGAGCCCGAGCCGGGGCCGCGCGGCCGAGCGGCCGCGGTGCCGTGGGAGCTGACGCCGCTCTCCTTGTCCCCGCAGTGGAAGGGCAGTGGCTGGAGTGGGGCGCCTGGAGCCGCTGCTCCGTCACCTGTGCCAACGGCACCCAGCAGCGGACGCGCAGGTGCAGCGTCTCGGCCCACGGCTGGGCCGAGTGCCGCGGGGCCCACGCCGACGCCCGGGAGTGCTCCAACCCCACCTGTCCCAGTAAGGCCCCGCGCGCTGGGGGGGAGCGGGGGGACGGCCGCGCGTCGGGGCGCGGCACCCAGCACGGCCCCGCCGCCGCGCCCACGCGGTGTCACCGCCGGTGACACCCGGGGTGCTGGCGGCCCCCTCCACTGCGGGGAGCCTGAGGGTGATGCCAGGGATCACCGGGCGTGTTTCAGCTGGAGGAGATGGGGGTTGGCACTGTGCTCATCCTGGGTGGCGCTGGGGACCCGTCGGTGCCAGGTGGCGGCGGGTCCCGCCGTGCTTTGGGCGTACAAGCACGAGGGAGATCTCACGTGTGCACGGCGCTGGGCATGGGGACACCGGGCAGAGGATGGACCACGGGGTCCTCATCCTGTCCTTTGAGCCGCTCCTTGTTTTGTGGGAGAAGTGGTGGCACCGGTGGCAGCCGCGGAGGGAGGCGGTGGCTGTGCCATGGTGCCCATGGATGGTGGCAGGGAATGAGGGGCATCTGCAGCAGGATGGGCATCTGCAGCAGGATGCCAGTCTGCCCTAAAAGAGATTTAAATCACTGATCCATGCATTTCACACCCCGCGGGATTTCGGCTCACAGCGCGTGGGGCAGCGCCGGCGGTGCCCCATGCCCGTCCCCGCGGGTGCCACTCTCCGTGCGCAGAGCCAGGTGTCCACAGTGTCCCCATCCCCACAGCAGACAGCAAGTGGGGTCCTTGGAACCACTGGAGCCTCTGCTCCAAGACCTGCGACACCGGCTGGCAGCGGCGCTTCCGCATGTGCGAGGGCACGGGCATGCAGGGCTACCCCTGCGAGGGCACCGGCGAGGAGGTGAAGACCTGCAACGAGAAGAAGTGCCCAGGTACGGGGTACCCCCCACCCCCCGGCGCCCCTCACCCCACATCTGGGCCGTGCTGATCCCCCCTTCCCCCCCAGCCTACCACGAGATGTGCAAGGACGAGTACGTGATGCTGATGACCTGGAAGAAGACGGCTGCCGGGGAGATCATCTACAACAAGTGTCCCCCCAACGCCACAGGTGACCCCAGACGTCCCCAGGGCTGGCACAGGGCAAGGGGTGGTGGGTGGTATTGGGGTTGAGCACCCCAAACTCCAGGGGCAGCGGGTGGCATGAAGGACAAGTGGCCCAAACCCCTCTGGCATGGAGCAGGGTAGGGGGCGTGGGTGGCATTTGGGTTGAGACACCCCAAAGCCCCAGGGACGGGGGTGGCACTGGGATCAAGACACCTGGAGCAGGGCAGGGGCTGGTGGGTGACATTGGGGTCAAGCACCCCTAAATCCCCTGGCCCTGGAGCTGCGCAGGGGCTGTGGGTGGCATCGGGGTGCCAGGAAGGGATGGCAGTGCCAGCCCCAATCCCAAATCTCCGCCACAGGGACTGCCAGCCGCCGGTGCCTGCTGAGCCCCCATGGGGTCGCCTATTGGGGTGTGCCCAGCTTCGCCCGCTGCGTCTCCCACGAGTACAGATACTTGCATCTCTCAGTAGGTGCCCGCTCTGGCACGGCCCCTTCTGTCCCCTGTCCCTGTCCCTGGGGCTCTGTCCCATCCCTGGCACTCCAAGAGCATCTCTGGCATGGGGAAACTGAGGCAGGGATCTCTGGGCGGGCTGGGAAAGGGGATCCCACCCAGGCTGTGTCCGTGGGAAATGGCTCTTGGGATGGGAAGGCTCCCTCAGATCCCCATGGATTCCCCTGTGGGGTGGGCAGAGGGATCCCATCCCAGAGCTGGAGCGGGGTTCTGGTTGGAGTTGTGCTCCTGTGTGTATGGAAAGAGGCTTTTGGGAAGGAGAGGATGCCCCCTGACCCCATGGATGTCCCCAGACCTCCCTGGATGTCCCCAGACTCCTGTGACCACCCCCCCACAGACCTCTGTGGGCTTGGAAAAATATCCCAATCCTTGAGCTTGAGCTGGCATGTTTGCATTGCGTTCCCACGTGTTTGGGAAGGGGCTTTGGGGATGTGGAGGATGACCCCAGACCCCATGGATGTCCCCAAACTCCTGTGAATGTCCCCAGACCACCCTGGATGTCCCCAAACCCCCATGGACTCCCTCAACCCGCGCGTCCTGCAGCTGCCTCAATTAACTCTGCCGCGTCCCCCGGGCTCTGGGGACAATAAGGGACACGCAGCACTGCTGGGGGGCGGTGGCAGCAGAGTGACACCGCTGTCCCCCCGTGTCCCAGCTGCGGGAGCACCTGGCGAAGGGCCAGCGGGTGCTGGCAGGGGAGGGCATGTCCCAGGTGGTGCGGAGCCTGCTGGAGCTCATGGCCCGCAAGACCTACTACAGCGGGGACCTGCTCTTCTCCGTGGACATCCTGCGCAACGTCACCGACACCTTCAAGAGGGCCACCTACATCCCGTCCTCCGAGGACGTGCAGGTAGCGGGCAGGGGGACGGCCAGGGTCCCCTCCCCGGGGAGGTGGCGGCGGGTGGCCCGGCCCGTCCCCAGCCCCGCTGAGCCCCGTCCCCGCAGCGCTTCTTCCAGGTGGTGAGCTACATGGTGGACGCCGAGAACCGCGACAAGTGGGAGGACGCCCAGCAGGTGGGTGGCACGGGGGGCGCGGTGGTGGCAGCCGGGGTGTCCCCACCAACGGGGGTGTCCCCACCGCGGTGACGCATCCCGGAGGTTCCGGAGCTGCTCCCGTCTCCCGCAGGTCTCTCCCGGCTCCGTGCACCTGATGAAGGTGGTGGAGGACTTCATCCACCTGGTTGGGAACGCGCTGAAGGCTTTCCAGAGCTCCCTCATTGTCACCGACAACCTGGGTGAGTGGCAGGGCGGGCACGGGGGCCTGAGGGGACACAGGAGCGGGGAGGTGACACCCGTGTCCCCTGCCAGTGACCAGCATCCAGCGGGAGCCCGTGTCCGCCGTGTCCAGCGACATCAACTTCCCCATGAAGGGCCGGCGGGGGATGAAGGACTGGGCCCGCAGCTCCGAGGACAAGCTCTTCATCCCCAGGGAGGTGCTGAGCCTCGCCTCGGCAGGTGAGCAGGAGTGCCCAGCTGTGGGCACATCTGGAGGTGGGCATGCGTCTGCCTGAATGCTCCTGCACGTCTGGGGCAGCGCACAGCTGGGTGCTTGCACATCTGGAGGTGTGCACATCTGGGCGCGTGCAGGTGTGGACCCAGGTGTGAACGTGAACATCTGGAAGTGCACAGGTGTGTGAGCCCGCACATCTGGGCGCGTGCAGGTGTGTACACACGTGAGCGTGCACATCTGGAGGTGTCCATGAGCGCACACCTGCTGCAGACCTGGCTCCCAATTCACACACACGTGACCTGCACCCCGGGCACGTGCGGGTGACCTCTGGGGCCAGCACACATCTGGGCGCACATCTGGCACGCTCGTGTGTGCCCTGCGTGTCCCCTCCCGGGTGTCACCGAGCCTGTGGCTCTCTCTGCAGAAGCCGAGGAGTCGTCGCACTTTGTCATCGGGGCGGTGCTGTACCGCACGCTGGGGCTCATCCTGCCCCCGCCCAGGTGAGTGGCACCGCCCGCGGTGTCCCCTGCTGTCCCCCGGCCTGTCACAGCCCGTGTCCCTTCCCGCAGGAGCCCCCTGGCCGTCACCTCTAAGGTGCTGACGGTGACGGTGCGCCCGCCCACCCGGCCCGCGGAGCCGCTCGTGCTGGTGGAGCTGTCCCACATCATCAACGTGAGTGTCCCCTCCCCTGGCACCGGGAATGTCCCTTCCCACATCATCAACGTGAGTGTCCCCTCCCCTGGCACCGGGAATGTTCCCTCTCATGCCACCATGCCCCCTTCCCATGTCACCCGTGTGAGTGTCCCTCTCCCATGTCACCAGTGTGTCCCTCTCCTGGGTCACCGTGAATGTCCTTTCCCACCAGTGTGTCTCCTCCCATGACATCAACCTAAGTGTCCCCCTCCAATGTCATCAGTGTCCCCCTCCTCGTGTCCCCCCTGCCACATCAGCTTGTGGCCCTCATCATCAGTGTCCCTCTCCCATGTCATTGTGAGTGTCCCCCTCTGTGTCATCCACACAAGTGTCCCTTGTCCCTCATTGTCATCATGACTGTCCCCTCCTGTGGCATTGTCCTTCCTCATCATCAACCCTCCAGTGTCATCAACGAGTTCCTTCATCACCACCATGAGTGTCCCCTTCCCCTCCCACGCCATCCATGTGCCACCCTGCTGTCCCATCACTGTGTCCCCACTGTGCCATGTGTGTCCCTGTCACCTGCAGGCACTGAGCTGGGCAGGGACCAGCAGTTCCCAGTTTGTGGCATGGTCCCTGTGCCCACGGTGGGGAGATGCCACCCCTGGGACACTCCGGGAATGTCCCCAAGGGCCACATCTGCTCGTGGGGAGGGGACAGGGCAGGGGGAGCTCTAACCTGTCCCTGTGTCCGCAGGGCACGTCCCACCCGCAGTGTGTCACCTGGGACTACTCGAGGACGTGAGTGAGGGGCACGGGGACACTGGGACACTCTGGTGACAGGGCGGGGCTGGCAGTGCTGGGGGGCTGCTGGGAGGGAGGGAGGGGAATGGGGACAGGGATGGGGACAAGGATGGGGGAATGGGGACAAGAACAGGGATTGGAGCAGGGATGGCGGAGCAGGGATGGGAACAGGGGCGGGGACAAGAACAGGGATTGGAGCAGGGATGGGGGGACAGGGATGGGAGAACGGGAATGGGGACAGGAATGGGGACAGGGATGAGGGAATGGGGACAGGAACAGGAATTGAAGCAGGGATGGGGGAACAGGGATGGGTACAGGAATGGGGGAATGGGAATGGGGGAACAGGGATGGGGACAGGGATGGGGAGGGGAATGGGGATAGGAATGGGGACAGGGATGGGGGAATGGGGATGGGGACAGGGATGGGGGAATGGGAATGGGGACAGGGACAAGGAACAGGATGGAAACAGGGATGAGGAACAGGGATGGGAACAGGGATGGGGGAATGGGGACAGGAACAGGGATTGGAGCAAGGACGGGGGAACAGGGATGGGAACAGGGACATAAAGCAGGGACGGGACAGAAAGCAGGGATGGGAACAGGGATGGGAGAGCTGGGATGGAGCAGGGATGGGAGCAGGGATGGGGGAACAGGGATGGGAACAGGGATGGGAGAGCTGGGATGGAGCAGGGATGGGAGCAGGGACGAGCAGCCAGGACCATCCCTTCCCACACCCCGGCCCCACTGGCACGGGTGAACGGAGCTCCCACGGGATCGATGCGGCCCCGGAGCCGCGGGGCCGCCCGCGCCAGGCTGCCAGATGTGATTTGTTAGCGCTGGCAGGAATGAGGGAAAGTAGGGCAGGAAGGGGGGCGGGCAGCGCTGCGGGCTGCGGGAGGGCACTGCCAGCCCCCTGCCCAGGTAGCCACGGGAGTTTGGGGTCACTGGTTCCAGTTCATCCCCCAAACCGGGGGGGAGGTGTTGGCTGTGATGAGCGTGGCAGGGCTCAGCCCAGCCCAGGGACAGTCCCCAGCTGTCCCACAGACCCAGTTCCCGGTTTTCCTGATGTGCTGGGAGCTGTGGCTGCCCCCCTGGGCATGGCAGTACCACCCCACTCTCTGCTCCCTCACTGGGGAGGTCCCCTGGCAGGAGGGGTCCCTGTGACAGGAAGCAGGAGCGTCCCCAAGGGGGTGGGTCCCCATAAAAGGAGGGGTCCCCATGGGGGACGGATCCTTCTAACAAGAGAGTCCCCATGACAGAAGGGTCCCCAAGGGCAGGAGGGGTCCCCATGGCAGAGGGGTCCTATAATGGGGGATCCCCATGGTGGGAGAGGACCTCATGGAGAGAGGGAATCATCACCCCCCTGGGGGGGGACACAGGTGCCAGGGGGCTCTTGGGGCTGTTCCTGCTTGTCCTGGCACTGCCCCACCCCTATCTCGTGTTTCTCCCCCCCAAGTCTCTGTGGGATGATTAAACCTGGAGCTTTTCTGCTGGATCAGCCCGGGGCAGGGATGGCTTCACCCCCTCCCCAAACTCGGGGTGTCCCCTGGCAGTGCCCCCTGCGTGCCACCCACCGGGCAAGGCCAGGAAGGGGTTAACTCCGGAGAGGCGCGAGGGGCTGCGTGTGTTTGATCATTTCAAATTGCTCTCCCTCGCTCCCTTCCCATTAATCAGGGATGCTGGCTTGGGAAACTGGGACACGGAGAGCTGCCAAACCCTGGAGACCCTCCCGGCGCACACCAAATGCCAGTGCCGCCAGCTCGCCACCTTCGCCGTGCTCGCCCAGCTGCCCAGAGACCTGGTAGGGCACAGGGTGGGGACAGCCACCAGCCTGCTGGGGACACGGGAGGTGGGTGGGGGGTGACCCCCGGGCTGGGCGGGGTTCTCCCGAGGCGGGGCGGGGGTGGGCACGGAGCGTTTCCTACTGGGATGAGGCGGGCGCTGCAGGGTGGGGGTGTCCCCAGCAGCCAGAGGAGGGGTCCCAGCACCCCCCAGCACCCCCAGCAGGGTGGGTTTGTGTGAGCAGGGGCTTCCACGGTCCCTAGAGCTCAATACAGGGCACTGCTGTGTGCCAGCAGGGGAGGGGGCACCCCATTGCTATTCCGCCCGCATCCCCCGTTGGCACGGAGTCCCCTTTGGCTGTGCCACCGCTGCCACCGACCCCTTCTGGCACCCGGGGGTGGAGGGCCCAGAGGGGACAGGGGGCTGGCAGGGAGCAGTGGGGAAGGGGCTGAGCTCAGCCAGTCCCCGGGTGTCCCCCCAGGCCATGGACCCCTCGGGGACGCCGTCGGTGCCGCTGATGATCGGCTGCGCCGTGTCCTGCATGGCCCTGCTGACCCTGCTGGTGATCTACGCCGCCTTCTGGAGGTGACCCCAGGGCACCTGGGCACCTGGGGGGCACCTGGGGCGTGGGGCCCTGTGGGGAGGGGGTGACAAAGGGGGACACGGCACCGGGGAGGGCTCAACATCAACGGGATTGGTGGGAACGGAAAAACTGGGTGGGAGAAGAGGCCTGGGACTGTCCCCACCCTGTGGCAGCATGGGACAGGGACAGGGACATGGGACATGGGACAGGGACATGGGACATGGGACATGGGACAGGGACAGGGAGGGACAGGGGACAGGGACAGGCTGGCCCCATGTCACTCCTGCCACAGGTTCATCAAGTCGGAGCGCTCCATCATCCTGCTCAACTTCTGCGTCTCCATCCTGGCGTCCAACATCCTCATCCTCGTGGGCCAGTCCCAGATGCTCAGCAAGGTGGGTGCCACCACCCTGCCACCACCCTGCCACCCTCCCTGGGGTGCCAGGCCACTCGCCGGCTCCCCTGCTGGCTCGCAGCAGCAGATTGGATTTGGATTAACTCGATCCTGGGATTAAATCCCCCGCGCCCGCCCCTGGCTCTGACACAAACCTCGCTGGGTTTAACCGCCACGGTGCCAACACTGCTGTCCCCGTGTCCCCACCCCGCAGGGCGTGTGCACCATGACCGCCGCCTTCCTCCACTTCTTCTTCCTCTCGTCCTTCTGCTGGGTGCTGACCGAGGCCTGGCAGTCCTACCTGGCGGTGATCGGCCGGATCCGGACACGCCTGGTCAGGAAGCGCTTCCTGTGCCTGGGATGGGGTAAGAGCCCGGCCTGGGTGGGAGCGGGCACCCCTCACCCATCCTGGTACCCCCCAGGCTCATCAGAGGGGAAACTGAGGCACAGCGGAGGAGAGCAGACCCGGGTGTCTCAGCTGTGGGGAGCTGTCAGAGGAGCTCCATCGCCGTCCCCACCCCTGGGGCTGGCACAGGGGGGGACAGTGCCACCTTCCTCCAGCTGCTCCAGCCCCGTGTCCCCTCTCCAGGGTTGCCAGCCCTCGTGGTCGCCGTCTCCGTTGGCTTCACGCGGACCAAAGGCTACGGGACAGCCAGCTAGTACGTGGGGACAGGGGACACAGGGAGGGGCACGGCGGCTGCTGCGGGCTGCCTGGGAGCAGGGCACGGCCACAGGGCTGTCCCCTGACACGCCACCCTCGGTCCCCTGCAGCTGCTGGCTCTCGCTGGAGGGCGGTCTGCTCTACGCCTTCGTGGGACCCGCTGCTGTCATCGTGCTGGTGAGCTGCCCCTGAGAGCCCTGGACCCCCCAAAACCCACCCTGGGGGGGGCTCGTGGCAGCTGCTGCCGCGGGCAGGGGGCTCCGTGCCAGCGCTGAGCCCACCCTCTCACAGGTGAACATGCTGGTGGGCATCATCGTCTTCAACAAGCTCATGTCCCGCGACGGCATTTCAGATAAGTCCAAAAAGCAGCGAGCTGGGTAAGTGCCCTGTGCCCCACGGGGGGGTCCCCGGGGCCGCCCCCCGACCCCCACACCCTGCCGGGGGCTGGGCACGGGGGTGCCCCGGCAGCGGGCTCGGGGTGGGGCAGATTTCACCGCATCCGTGGGCGGCGGGGGCCAAGCCCGGGGTGAGCACAGCCCCTTGTTGGGGGCTGCTGGACGGGGCAGAATTTGGGGGGCAGCCACCCCCGCTCCTTCCCTCGGGGAAGGGGGGTCCGCAGGCCGCAGCCCCCCCTCCGTGCCCGCCCCCTCCCCTGCCGCTTGGCCACCCCCCCTCGCCATTAACAGCTGCCACCCTCGACTAACCTGACGCTCTCTTTCTCTCTCTTTCTTCTCCTCCTCCCATTTGCTTCTTGCCTGTGTGCCTGTGTCCGTCCATCCATCCCTCCATCCATCTGTCCATCCATCTGTCCATCCCCCCCGCCCTCTCCCCGCCGTCCTGCCTTGCTCCCTCCCCTCTCCCCGCGCCTGCATCCCCCCCGCGTGGCCCGGTCCTGGCCGCGGGGCGCCGGGGGGGCGCTGGGCTCGTAGCTCCAAGCCCCCCCCGTGCGGCAGCCTGCTGCTGAAATGCACCAAGTGCGGCGTGGTGTCCAGCGCGGCCATGACCTCCGCCACCGCCAGCAGTGCCATGTTAGTGCCCGTCCCGCGCCCGCCGCGCCCCCCGCCCCGAGCACAGCGCGGGGGGGGCTCTGGGCATCTCCCCGAAAGGGTTGGGGGGCGGGTTGGGGGTCCCCGAGGGGAAGGAAGGAAGGATGGAAGGAAGGATGGAAGGGTGACGCTGTGTGCTCGGGGCGGGGTGTCCCATCACGTCTGCATGGCATGGCTTCCCATGGCAGGTCACCTCATCGCCGGGGTTGGGGGGCTCTTCTGGCCTGGGGGTGGGGCACGGGCTCGGGGGTGTCCCCGGGACCCTCTTCGCGGGCTGTGAGCTCCAGAGGCTGCTGGAGTCCCCGCTCACGGGGGTTTAGTCACAACAGAGGCAGCCCCAAAATTCGCTGCTTAAAAAAAAAAAAAAAAAAAAAAAAAAAAAGAAA